GTGTAGAAATCATCTCCAAAAGAGGTTTCCTTCCTCTGTCTTTTACTTCTCCTCAAATCCTCATAGATTTTGTTACTATTAATCTCTAAAGATTGTTTAGGTGTCTCACTAACCTTTAGAGGAAAAATATGTTCAAAAAACTCAACATTTTTTGTCTCTACTATAGTATTATGCTCAATTACATCACTTTTGAGGACAAGAAACCTATAGGCAGCACTATGTTCTGCATAGCCTAAGAACATGCAATTAGAAGTTTTAGAACCTATTTTCCTTTTCTTATGATTGGGTAACTTACCTTAGCTAGGCACCCCCACACTCTTAAATATTTAAGATTAGGTTTATAACCTCTCCATAACTCGTAGGGAGTATTACCTGTTTTCTTATGTGGTATCCTATTTTGTAAAAAACATGTTGTAAGTAGAGCTTCTCCCCAAAGGTTATTAGGTGCACTAGAGCTAATAAGCATACTTTGGTTTATCTAGAGTAATCATCTATAAATGTCACAGATCATATGAATCAATATTATAAGCAGAAGAATAACATTCATTAACAACCAAGGGCTTTGGTCACACTATCTCTTTCCTACAAATACATTATTTTTTGTCATAACAACCTTGTCAGATTCGAATGACACTTTAACCCCAACTTTTCCAATAGTGCTACAGAGATTAGATTAGCTCTGATTAATGACACATGTAGCACATCATTCAAGACCAAAGTCTTTCCAAATGTGAGTTTTAGAAGAACTTTTCCTTTTCCTGAGACAAGAGTTGTCCTGGAATCACTAAGACAAATATGTTCTTCTCCATCCCCACAATAGTGTAGGAGGTAAAAACACTTCTGTTTGCACAGATGTGCCTGGTAGCACCAGAGTCTACCACTCATTTGCTCACATTTGTCACAAGGTTTATTTGAGAAACGACCGCAATAATTGTATCTTCTCCCTCGGATTTTCCTTAGGAGGATTGTCGTTTCTCATTCTATATCTGCACTGAGGTGCATGATGACATAGCTTTCCACAAAAGGTAATTTTCTTTCTTGAACGTAAAGTGGGATTAGATCCACTGATTTCATACAGTCTCAACCCTTTCTTATAAGTATGTACAAAATATTATGGGGACAAAATAATATTCTACTTATACGTATATGTATGTACAAAATAATACGTAGATCTAAGTCATACATTGTATACATGTAATTGCTAATTATTCACAAAGAAAATCTCTCATAACATATAATAATTTTGCATAATTTCTCTCATAACATAAAATAATTATGCATAATGCATTTTTCATTTTCTCTGTTATATTGGTGTAATAAATCCGTAAAAGGAACATGTGTTTGACACATCTGCTTTATAGACAAGCTGCATGATGTATGCTGATAGCATTTGATATAAAATTTTACCTTTCTTTCATCATAATTATAACATGCAGTAATCAATTTTATATATAATTCACCGTTAACCCAATCACGTAATTTGTTTTTTCAATTAAAATCAATTACAGGGTCATTCACATTTCAATAAGAATTACAGTGTCATTCACATAGGGACTATGAAATTAATTTCAATTTAAAATTGATTGCAGCTTAAAACATAGATTATCATTTATTCCTTTATTCAATTTTGGGAAAAACATAATTTAAAAATTGTCATAAGAGAAAAATCATAAATCTAATAAGTATAGCTCTGATACCACATGTATTTTAATTTGTAGTTTTTATACGTTATTATTTCTATAAAACTACTCTTCACGTTTAGATTCTTTATTCTCACGTAATAGCATACATGAATCATAATTATATAATAACATACATGAATTGATTCTCACATAATAACATACATGAATCATAATAATATAATAACATACATGAATTGATTCTCACATAATAACACACATAAATCATAATCAGAAGACTAACCTTGATCCATGAGCACTTCATACTTCCTTTTCTTTCACTATCCAATATTCTAAAACTGTCGAAGGAAGTTGTTGATGTTCATACTGTCAGCCCTAAGTCCTTAAGATTGTTGAGGAAGCTGACAGAGACACGAACAAACTTTATTCCTGAGGTGTGTATAATCACTGCCCTTAAGGACTTATCCGCGGTGTATTGTGCAAGTCCCCCAGGATACAACAGGAACTTCTCGGAATATCCGAGGATCTCAGAAACTAGCAAGAAACTCTCAAAAGAGTAAATTAACCCAGGAACACAGAAAGAATATCAGAGAAGAGAAGATGAGAGATGTGTCTATTTTGAAGAGTGTGAAGTGGTCTCTATTTATAAGAGAAAGTCTGTAACAGTTATGGAAGACTTGGTAGTGGGTTTGTAACGTTCCTGTAACGTTTTCTGTAACGTTCTCTGAAAAGGTCTTGTGCAACGTGTGTGAGAACACGTTCTCTGAAACGGTCTTCTGCAACGTTCTCTGAAAAAGTCTTCTGCAACGTGTGAGAACACGTTCTCTGAAACAGTCTTTTGCAACGTGTGCTCTGAAACAGTCTTCTGCAACGTGTGAGAATACGTGCTCTGTTTTGCAATACCCCTTAATTTATAACAAAACCATTATACAAACAATTATCTTTTAGTCAAACAAACACATAACATATCAACCCACTTCTCTTAGGTCTATCTATGACACAAACTGCTCTAGTACTATAAATATAACAACTAAAAATATACATATCATAGATATGTATTTCAAATTCATAAAGTAATTCAACATATAAATTCTTTTTTTTTATAGAGAAATATATACATACATGTAAAAAATCACAAAATATGAAACTAATAAAAAAATCTAAAATTTTATCTACTTCGAGCCTACAACTTAACCCTTGTATTATCTACTCACATATAAACATGCAATCATCCTAATTTAAAGTGACACGTATGATAACCTAGTTATTCAAAATAAGCATATCAAATTTGAATTTGTTATAAAACAACAAATACATGTACTTGTTATAGAGTTAATACATCACATCAATTCACATTACACAAATATTATACCACACTTATGTAAGTCCACATTCATGTCAAATACTTAATGACTTCTAAAATACTAGACATTAAATTAGACATACAAATTCTACACTTGTTATATAGTGCTCAACACTAAAGTCTTAATGGTATATAAGGGGTGTCAAAATAGGCTTAACTCGATGAGACAGCCCGAAAGGCATGAAAAATAGGTCAGGTTAGGCCAAAAAATTTATATCATAAATAAAACTAGGTCAACTTATTTAGGCCAGGCTTAAATGGTTTTAGGCCGACCTACGGGCTTATGAGTTGACTTGTTTTATAAAATAATAATTATTTTATTAATAAAATAAAATAAATATTATTTTATTAAAAATTATAAGTATAATAAATTAATTTGATAATATATTTTGCCTATATATATATATATATATATATATATATATATATAATTTAGAAAGAATAATAAATTTTAAACATAATTTTTATTTGTTTTGGTCATCTTTCTTTTTGGTGTTGTCGTCACATTTACTTTTAAAAATCAATAATTTAAGATGACATATTCTTAGACGTAGTGTATTTTCAAAGTATCATGACGTGAGGATTATGTTTGATAATAAGGCTAGCTTGATGAAGTAATGAATTTGACTCTAAAATTTACCGAGATATATTTATTAGATATATTACTAAGTATGTTCTTCAATTTAACTATGTTGAGTAAGAGGGAGTTGAAGAAGTAAATAAAGTTTTGAATCTTGATCTTAAACCAATTACTAAAAATACTTAATTTTATGATTTTATATATTATTTTATTTTGTTTGAATAAGTTATGAGTTAATTTAAAAAAAAAACAAATAAATGACATATTTTTTTTAAAGTAAAAAAATATATAAAAAATTTATTTTTAATTAGACAAAAAATATCTTGTTAACCTAATAAGATCGTACTAGGTAAATTTTTTTACCCATTTTAAAATATAAAATTTGGATGGACCATCCATTTTAAAAACGATACATTATTGTGCGACTATAATAAATTTATATATATAATTCTTTCAATTCTGATCGTCTAATTCTTTTATATAATTATAATAACTAATAGAGTGATAATCTCTTATCAAATTCTAAATTTAATATTCATAAAACATATTATCCCAATTACATCAAATAATTATATATATATATATAAATAAAAGTAAATGTGCTTAATAAAAAATTATTAAGTAATTAGTTATTAATAAAACTAATAAATATTATATATGGAGAGAGGAAAAAATTGAGATAAAAAAAATGTTATACTAAAAGAAAAAAAAAAGGTAATTCATGTATGGAAATTAGTAAATATAATACTATTGATCTATTATTAGGTAGAATTTACCCTATTAAACTTGTGTTTCGTTTTAATTAAACACGACACAACAACGTCGAAAAATTACGTTTAGATTAAGCTATTTTAACAAAGGACAAACTTTGACTAATCACAATTCCACCACCAATCCCAGTTTCTCAGATAAAACCAAGAAGGAAAAAAAAAAAAGTAGAGTCTTCAGAAAAGTGTAAACTGTATAACTACGACGTTGACAAGGAACAAATTGGTTTTTGACATCTGTAGCTGCAGGGTATGGACCTTATGGTGGCCACTAGACAATCCAACACCACCAATTCCCATTTTTCATTTTAATTTCCATAATCAAAGAAAACACCCACTTGGAATTGTCCCTGGGGAGGAGTCTCTGGTGGCCACACGAGCTTTAGCATTACCAAAACAGCCAAACCAGTGACCTTCGGTGTTCTGTTTCTTACCTTGTAAATGTGAATCGTTCAAATGCTTCCGTTTCTTCCCTTCCCTTTTTCCTCGGTAAGCATGAAAACCAATTGCTGCTTGTTGTAATTATTATTGCAATTCCTTTTTGTGCCTTCACTGTTGGTGTGACTGTGCCAAGTTGTCTTATTTAGTGTGACCCTGATGGTGTTTTGAGTATTCGTTTGGAGATTCATTGAGTATTTTGATAAATTTATATGATTGCTATGGATACTTTGCTCAAAACACCTAACAAGCTTGAGTTTTTGCACCCACTTCACGGTTATTCAGATAAATTGAGCAGTTTAGGCTCCTCTAGGGTGCAAAATCAGGATTTTAGGTTTGGGTCTAAGAAACCACTTGTGAGATGGGGTAAATGTGGTGGTTTGAGGGCTAGCAGCAGTGGCCTTTTGGAGCTTGTTCCTGAATTCAAGAAGGAGAATCTGGATTTTGAACTTCCTTTGTATGATTCCTCAAAGGGGGCTGTGGTGGACCTTGCGGTTGTGGGAGGGGGGCCTGCTGGGCTTGCCGTTGCACAGCAGGTTTCTGAGGCAGGGCTTTCAGTTTGTGCTATTGATCCAAACCCTAGGTTAATTTGGCCAAATAATTATGGCGTTTGGGTGGATGAGTTTGAGGCCATGGATTTGCTTGACTGCCTTGACACCACTTGGTCTGGCGCAGTCGTCTACACCGATGATAAAACAAAGAAGGATCTAGATAGGCCTTATGGTAGGGTCAATAGGAAGCTTCTGAAGTCAAAGATGCTGCAGAAATGTATCTCAAATGGTGTCAAGTTTCACCAGGCCAAAGTTAACAAGATTATTCACGAGGATACCAAATCTTTGCTGATTTGTAATGATGGTGTCACTGTTCAGGCTACCGTTGTTCTTGATGCAACTGGTTTTTCAAGATGCTTGGTTCAGTATGATAAACCGTACAACCCGGGTTACCAAGTTGCTTATGGGATTCTGGCTGAGGTTGATGAACACCCGTATGATGTAGATAAAATGCTTTTTATGGACTGGAGAGATTCTCATCTGGACAATGACAAGGAGCTGAAGCAGAGAAATAGTAGGATACCCACCTTTCTGTATGCAATGCCCTTTTCATCCACTAAGATATTTCTTGAAGAAACCTCTCTTGTAGCACGGCCTGGATTACGAATGGATGATATACAGGAAAGAATGGTTGCTAGGTTGAAACATTTGGGTATTAGAGTGAAAAGTATTGAAGAAGATGAGCACTGTGTCATCCCCATGGGTGGCCCCCTCCCAGTTCTCCCTCAAAGAGTTGTTGGCATTGGTGGTACTGCTGGGATGGTGCATCCTTCAACTGGGTATATGGTTGCAAGGACCCTGGCTGCAGCTCCTATTGTTGCTAATTCTATAGTTCAAAGCCTGGGTTCTGATAGAGGTCTTGCAGGAGGAGATATATCTGCACAAGTGTGGAAAGATTTATGGCCTATCCAAAGGCGGCGGCAAAGGGAATTCTTCTGTTTTGGTATGGACATCTTACTCAAGCTTGATTTACCAGGCACAAGGAGATTTTTTGATGCGTTTTTTGATCTGGAACCTCATTACTGGCATGGATTCTTATCATCAAGGCTGTTTCTTCCTGAGCTCATATTTTTTGGACTCTCTCTATTTTCTTGTGCTTCTAATACATCTAGGGTAGAGATTATGGCAAAGGGAACACTTCCTTTGGTAAACATGATCAACAACTTGGTAAAGGATACAGAATAAGATGACTTCCATTTAATCTGTTGTATGCTACCTATGTTTGTGCTTCCACATGTAGTTTCCTACCCATATTATAGATTTCCAATAATGCATAACTGTGTATATTTATTCTTTGTTCATCGCAATTCCCTTTTGAGAAAAAAGTTCCCAAACTTTCTCAATTTGAAGCTTATCATGTTTGCATTTGGCTTACTTGCAATGGATAAGAGGAACAGAACTGACTGGTCATTGTTGGTTAATGCTTGGGGGCAACCTATATTAACTGAATGATGAGGTTTCTTTACCTCAGCACGACCAGTTATCTTACCTTAAAAGTATCAATGACTTCATAAACTGTAATTATGATCAGTGAAATGTGATTACTGTAATTCAGTTTGATCAACCTATATTACCTTCATGATCCATGTTTTTAAATGTTGTTCGTGCTAATTCATGGCCTTTCTCTCGAGTTAATCTATCTATTCAGTTTGACTTCCAAGTTTTGAAGGAAATGAGCGGTACATGCCTCATTCATGAAATTTAAGCATCCACCTCAAGATGTGGACACTTTCTCACCTTTGCTTGCTATTGATCCCCTTTCTCTGCTTTATATGATTCCCCCTTCAATCTTGTGCTTTCCATGAAATCATCATCCTTGTAATCGGAGCAGCAGATTTTACTCAATAGCAACATGTCAGCTGTGTATTATACAATAACATGTTACTTGGATTATCCAGAGCTTGACTTATCTCAGTGCACGAAGCTTTTAACTTGCACTAGATAAAAGAAAAATTTGAACAAGCACTGTAACCAGCAAGTCTATGTTAAACGTTTATTGGTAAAAAGAGGTTAAACGTTTCAACTGAAATTATCTGTAAATTAAGAGTTTATTCGCCCTCAAATATTTTAATGGTTCAAGACCATTTTAAATATATTAAAAGTAAAATTGAATACATTCTTCTATACTCGTTTGAAGGTAAGTTCACTTCAATGTGTCCTTGACTAAATTATGTGCTCCAGCTATCCAAATTCTAGTCTTGCTCATGTGGTTATCAGTAATATGATTACAGAATGCGAATTTCGTTCTTGAACTTATTTGAGAAAAACTATGCCAATTTCTTGTTATGGAATGCACAAAAAATATTGTTATTCTATGAATAATTCCACAAAAAGTGTGTTTAACAAGTTCTTTTAGCTAGTTTAGCTTATGAACAACTTGTTTGGCTAGAATATAAGTATTGCTTATAAAATCAATGTATCCTATTAGCTATCATATTTTTCGGCTAAAATATAAGTATCGTTAATAAATGAATGTATCCTATTAGCTTATCATTTTTTTCTTACCACTGGAAATAATGTTTAATCTTATAATTGTAGTTTATTATCTGCATTTCTACCTCAATATTTAAATAACAATCTACAGTTGCGTTTATATTTAAATTATTACATTATGTAAACCATTTATCGTTAACTTATTGAAAAACTAATAAAATAATACTCATATATATATATATATATATATATATATATATATATATATATATATATATATATATATATATAAAGCATATATCTTTTCATGCCATTTTATACCTAAAAATTTATTTTATAAATAATTTTACCAACTAAAACAAATAAAGATTAGAGAGATATTCACAATACTAAGGAAATGATTTAAGGATGAATTTTGGGATGTTGATTCCAACAAAAAGATACAATGTTATATATACGTTTTTTTCTAACAAATTATAGTTAATACTGTTTTAAATATACTCTAGGATTATAACAAAAAATATTTACAGAAAGAGATAATTAGAAGGATCATAATTGAGTGAGAACTATTGGATTATACGGGTTTGGGATATTGTTTTGTTAGCCTCCCTCAAGCTAGAGGTGTATAAAGATCAATCAACTCCAACTTGGATATATTAGACTTGAATAGATGAGGTGATGATGATGTCTTAGTGAACATGTCAACAAGCTGATGAGAGGATGTAACTGATAACAACCGCATTAGACCTGCTTGAGCCTTTTCTTGAACAAGATTGTAGTTAATTTCCAAGTGTTTTTTTTTTTCTCATGAAAGACTGGATTTGATGCAATGCATAATGCACTTTGGTTGTCGCAATATAATATTGCAGGTTTGGAATAACATATTTTTTATGTGAGTCATTGTAGTTCACATGTAATTGTAGCAAGAGCATGATACTTTACTTTCGAAGACGAACGAGACACTATATTTTGTTTTCCATGACACTAGAGAGTTCCCAATGAAGAAGCAATAACCTATGATTGATTTGTGTGTGTCAACACAAGTCGTCCAATCTACATAGTTAAAACCAACTAAATGTATATGAGTGCTCCTCTTGAATTGAAGACCTTTGCTTGGAGAACCCTAAAGTATTTTAAGACTCTCCTTGTAACAGCTAAATGAGATTTTGTGGAGTGAGCCATAAATTGACTGAGTTGTTGGGTTGCAAAAACAATGTCAGGACGGGTTGTGGTGAGGTTTTAGAGAACCAACAAGACACCTATAGGATAAAGGATCATGAAGAGTATTACTAGAATCATCTTGACGTAGTCATAATGAAGCAAGCAACTCAAGGCAATATTTACATTGTGATATATATATATATATATATATATATATATATATATATATATATATATATATATATATATACAGACATAGTGATTTATTTCTAAACCCGGAAAGTATGTTAATTCTCCTAAATTCTTAACTCGGAAATTCGAATGAAGAACATGTTTGATTTGAGTCATTTTAGTCACAAAGTTCCCAGTTAAAACAATGTCATTCACATAGATTAGCAAAGCCGTAAATTCATCTTCATTGTGTTTGATGAATAAATTATGATCTGTATGTGATTACTTGTAACCAGATGAAATAAGCAGATAAGAAAGTTTTTCATACCATTTGTGGTTAGCTTGTTTAAGGTCATATAGAGATTTTTTGAGTTTGGAAATTGAGAATAGTCATGGCTTCACAATCCTTGAGGAATTGTCAATATAAATCTCTTCAAACAAGTCACTGTGGAGGAAAGCATTACTCATTGGTTTATTAAAGCTACCATTTATTTGTAAAAGCAAGAGCGAGGATGACATGGATAATGGCCATCTTTACCACGGGAGAGAATGTTTCAAAGAAATTAATCTCTTCCACTTGATAGAAATATTTTGTAACCAATTGTGTTTTGTACCATTCCACACTGCTATATGATTTTGTCTTAATTTTGTAGACTCATTTACATCCTATGGGTATAACACCAACTGAAGTATTAACCATTTCCTAGGTGTTATTTTTCAAAGCCTCAATCTCATCTTTCATGACTTCAACCCAATAGGGACTCAAAATCGCTTTCCAATAACTTTAAGGTTCAACTTCAGAGGATAAATTCATTACATAATGACGCTCAGACTCAAAGATGTTAAAATAAGACAGAACCAACTAGAGAGGATACAAGCATGTTGATGATGATTTATTTGACTTCATATCGATGCTACATATATAGTTTACAAGGAGAACATTGAGTTTGATAGGTCAAGAATAACATCTTAGGACAAAGGGAGTAGGTCTAGGAGTGGGGTTATGGTGTGAATGAGTGTTAAAGGTGGAAGAAGGGGAACCAAGTATTGTAGATTGATGAGAACTTGATTATGGAGATGTTGAGGGAAGTTGTGATTGCAACAAAGGTGAAAAAGACAATGGTAAATATCGATTTGGAGATGGGATAAAATTAAGTTGTTAGGTGTTATAAGTAGGAGCTAATCCGGATTGGGCATTTGTATTAGGCTTTCCTCGTGAAGGTTTTGGGCATTAGTTGGCATAGGTAGAGGATCATGTTAGGCCTTCTTAGGAACCTGATTATTTTGAACAAAAGGAAATATTAATTCAAAAAATACGATATTTCTTGAGACAAAAAATTTTCTTGATTGGAAATCTAAAATAATGTACCATTTTGTTCCAATTTGAAATCCAAGAAAAACACCTTGTCTAGATCTAGGATCAAATTTTTTATGAGGTCCATTGTTGAAGAATAACATAAAAATCTAAATACTTTAAGCATTGAAAAATCTTGTTTATGATTATGCAAAACCTCATAAGGTGTTTGTTTATTAGTGACTAGAGAAGGTATTCTGTTAATAAGGAAAACTAAATGTTTTATGACCTAAGATCACAAATATTCAAGTAATTGAGATTGGAACATAAGGGCACGTACAACATTAAGAATGTGTTAATGTTTTTTTTTTTTCTACACACCTATTTTGTTAAGGGTGTAAACACAACTAGTGTGATGAATGATACACTTTGTGGCAAATAAATCTTTAAGAAAAAATTTGGGTCCATTATTTGAACGAATGCACTTTATTTTGGAATCAAATTGATTTTCTATCAAAGCAATAAAATTTTGGACATGCATTTTAACTTTAGATTTTTTTTATTTTAATAACATTGTCCATGTATTTCTACTAAATGATCTACAATGGTCCAAAAATATTTGTCTACATGAATTGAAGCTTTGGAAAAAGGACTCCAAATGTCCATATGGACTAAATAAAAAATCTTTGAACCTATACTAATACTAAGATTGTAAGACAATTTTCTTTGTTTAGCAAACTGAAAAATGTCACAATTCTTATTAACATGACTTGGAAAAAAAGGAATTTGTTCACGTAACATATTTAAACGATTTTCCAAAAGGTTCCTAAGTCTAAAATGTCAAAGGTTAGAAGAGGAGATGGTGTGGACAATGTTATTGTTGATGGAGGTTTTGTTGTTGTTGAGGTACCTTGGCTTATTTGTTGATATTAAGATGGTAAAGAACTTGTTCTAGATTAGTCAAACCAATCATCTGCAATGAATGTTTTTCATATATAGTACAAATGAAATCATCAAAGATAAGAATAAATTTACAAGTCTTAAGCAACTTAGATATAGACAAGAGATTGAAATGAAATTTTGGAACAAAGAGGACATGAAGAATGAAATTTGGAGAAAAAATAATTGTTCCAAAAATATAAGTAGTGACAATGGATTTATTTAACAAATTAATTTGAATAAGATTTATTTTAGAATAACTTGAAAAATAATTGAAAGAAGATGCAATGTAATATGTGGCTTTTGGATCAATGATCCATGGTACACTATGTTTATGGGTGGGGGAAGAAAGATTGTGTGTGTAGTGTTGGGAAAAATAAATGATATACCACTAGAATCTTAACTATTTATTTGATTAAAAGGAACTTGAGTGAGATTGACACTTTTGGGCTGGACAAGGTTGTTCCCCATAGCATCAGAAGTAGAGTTGGGCTGCTAAATCAAGGCCATTAAAGATTGGTATTGGGTTTGGGTCAAAGTAATAGGGCTTGAAGAAGTAGTTGACCCCTGTATTAGGTAGACTAAACAACATTGTTGGCAAAAAAATAGGAGTCACGGTTGTTGAACTGTGAGCGGCTAGGGTAGCGAGGGTGACCTGGTGGATAGTTGTGCTTCCCCTAACAACTCGACTCACACAAGTTAGTTCACCACGAGTTAAGCTGAAAATAGGCAAACTCAACCTGACTTATTTTATAACGAGTCAAAAGTTATACAATCCGACTCAACCCACATTATAGGTTGGTGGGTTGACTCACTAACCCATATTTATTTATTTTTTCTTTTTCATTTTCTTTTTCTAATAAGAACGACTGGATTATGAGACTAAACAATGAAGCAGTAGCACGATAAATATTGTGATGTGAATAAAACACGACAAACATTATGGTGCAACTGAAGCTCAATGGCTCGATGACACGTCGAATGTAATAGTGCAACAAATAAAGTGGTCCAACAAACGTTGTGGCGTGACTGAAACGTTGTGACATGACAATTATTGTGACACTAAAACGTGGGATTGAAACGTGACAAACATTCTGACATGACTAAAATGTGGTGGTGTGGGAAACACAATGAACATGGTGGCGCAGTGATGTGATAGACGGATGACTAGTGACCTAGGTGTAGCGACGAATGCAATGATACGATGGACAATTGATGATAAGCTTGAATGAAGATTTGACTTGTAACAGGAACGTGAAGTAAAGGTAGAGGGGCAAAATAACATCAATTACAATTACTAAATTATTATAATTATTTTTAAAATGAATGGTGGATTGTGAGTCAATCCACTATAACCCGACTCGAACCTACTTAACCCAAGTCAAGTTCATTTTTAACCTATTATCAATAGAAATGAAAAATATTGAACCCGACCCAACTAGAACCTATGGTGAGTCGGGTTGGCTCACGGGATACAACCCATATTAACACCCCTAATCAATAATGTGTCCAGTGGGTGATGAACCAGACACACCGCGACCGTTACTAAAGGCATTGAAGTGTTGACAAAGCTATTAGGTTCAATAGAGGAAGGAGGAATGACACTAAGCTAACGTTCCTATTGAACCACCATGGAAAAAACTTGATTGACCGCTAGAAGGAGATCCATAAGCAAGATTTGGGAACACACAACAGACAAACATTGTTGGTGGTATTTCTTGGTCTCATAAGAACAAGTAAAAAAGGATGATAATTATCCACAGAGGGTTTTCGAGGTAGTGTAAAATTTGATATAGGAATGTTACCTTGAGAAAGTCCACAAATTTCTTCTTAGAGCTCTGCAATCTGGAGAAAATCTCCTTATGAAAAATGTTCATGAAGTTATTTGCAAATATAAGTAGCATATTCAAGGAAGATGACTAGTAAATATTATCTTGTAGTCTAGATATCATCAAATAATTTTCCAATAAAATTAATATAGTATTAGGATTGACCTATGTCGTGTCGTCAAGTAAAGAACATATTCGAAATGAGAATTAAATTGTGATCAATTAAAAATAAAGAAGAAATTTGATAGAAAGAATGTTGATTCTCCAATCATAAGCTCGATTCTATGATTATCATTGATTTCTAGAATTTACCTTATAATTACAAAAATAAATCCACAACAATTTTAAATAGTTACAATATAATTGAAATTCATAAACACAATTCAATTCATAAATCAAGCAATCACTTCAACCTAGAAATTGAATTATATTGTAAATGAGACATTCAATTAAATAACTTCAATTGCATTAATTGAAATGGATTATAATTGGTTAGAATAGTTAAGAACCAAATCTAAATCGTAAAAAACGAGTTTTAATTGGTGAATCAATAACAAAAACGAATTAGAACATGATCACGAAGTGGAATACAAGAAAAAAAAAACATGAAAACAGAGTAAAAGAAATGATGCGAAGGTAGAAGAAGATGAAACAAAAATAAAAGTGGAGAAATAAAATAAATGAAACAAATTTGATCAAAAGTAACTTGAATTGATAATTTTCAAAGCATTGTTTGTACAAGAACTTTATAAACACACTTATCACAAAAAGAGAAAATCTAAAACTATGCAGACTTGAACGAAACTGGATTTCAACCTTTTAAAACTTCTCCTTTTGGCTTTCTCATACCTATTTATACAACAATCTAGGGACAATCAAGGTTCATTCAAGACCCATAATTACATAATCGAACTTAAACGATATCCTATGATCAATTTATTCAGTGGTTCCATATTTGCTAAGCAGGATTTACAGTTAAATAAGTTATATAAAAAATTGACACCTTTCATTTGATAGTTATGCACTCGATCAACTAATAGTCTCAATTCTGAAATGAGTTATCGATAAATGTCTCCAATTAAATATTGAAAATTACTTCAATTAGATATCAATAGTGACTTTTGATGAAATAATCTTCGATTTTATATTCAATGGACTATTAACAATATCTTTGATTTTAATTTTATAATTTCTTTTAATTTATCATTTCTGCAAAAAAATAAACATTTAATTAGTTAAAATGTACAATTTAAGTAATAAATTATATTTAGAGATTTTTATTTCTTTTTTTACAAAAACTATATTAAATATTAATAATTAATTAAAAAATATATTAAATATATGTAAAATACATAATAAAATTATTGATAAAAATGTGTTCATCAATGATATTTTGGGTGATAGGGGAAGAAAGTGAATTCAAAAACCAAGAAATGATGAGAGTGTCATATCTCTTTTATGTAGAATAAAGAGGTTCTTTCATTAAAAAGACCAAAATTGTACAAAAGAGGAATGCTATTTTGTTTTTGGAGATGAAGGTCATACAAAAAACACGAGACCAAGACTCAGAGTTGATTCTATCAAGTAAGTAATAGACATAAAGGAAGCATGATCACTACATTGGATGAAATAAGAACTTGAAAAATTGGCCGATGAATTATTAGAACCAAAACCAAGCAAAAGGATCGTCTTTCTTTGAAATGGAGGTATTGAACACACTACAAGAGGCAAAGCTCAAGGAGGAAGCTCTAATACCATAAAACAAATAAAGACAAGAGAGAAGATATTTAAAAAATTGAGATAATGATTTAAGAATGAAGTTCGTATAATAATTTCAAGAAAAATATACAAATTACAATTTATATTTTTGCCCATTGTTCTGTTACCAACCACTCCTAATTAAAAAACGTCAAATATAACAAATTGTATTCTACATAAAACATAACAAATTATCACCCTATACTTACCAAACATAACAAATTGTATTCTACATAAAACATAGGTTCATCTTCAGCATGTAAATAGAATACATTCAGAAAGATTCGAAACAAAATGCATAGAGACGAATGCAACTCTTACCTACGAGGCCAAGTGTTTTATTTTACTTTTTAACATTAATCATTGATAAGCATACGCATTCGTGATGCGATAAGCATACGCATTCGTGATGCTAGCCCCTACTGCCACGGCAAAGTTCAATCGATAGTAACCGAAAATTCTGCCAACTCATATTTTAGCCTAAAATAAAAAAAGGTATAATCCAAATCTCTAGATTCAAGAAAGCTCTCGGCTGCGCTTAGCAGCAGCAACAACAGCATTCATCAGTGTTCCACGGAACCCACCGATTTCTAACTCATGAACGCCCGTAATTGTTGTCCCACCTGGAGAAGTAACGTCATCCTTGAGTTGCCCCGGGTGTTTCCCAGTCTGTGTCACCATTGATGCCGCTCCCAATACCTGCAAAATACACAAATAGATGAGTCAATAACAACTTTAGAAACGGGATTTCAAATGTAGGTAATGTAAATGTTCAATTGGATACTTGCTTCCATATTTAAGCAACAGTAATCGCATTAACTGTGTCCTAATTTATTTATAATAAGGGTATATGCCTATGCGCAAGAACTATGTGTTGTTTAACTAAAACCAGCAAAAGAAATTGCGACCAGGTGTAAGAATGGGTCAACTCAATTTTTTGGATGCACTAGTGTAGGAGCAGATTTTTCTATAAATCATATGGTACATTGGTTCGCTCAACCTGTTCATTAAACACTGCAACATAGAGGAGGGCACGTGGTACATTGCTTGAATCCAATTTGTAAAGTAAAATTGTGCAGTAAACACAGCAAAATAGACTGCAGTAGGTATATTACTTGAATCCAATTTGTGATTCGTTGTTGGAGACCTTTATCGAATGTATAGACCAAATATACACAGTCAAGCAATAGCACTGAAAATCAACCAATCTTCAATTTGAACAGACTAATGATTGAATAGCACAGAAAGTCAACCAAGCTAAATAATAACATGCCATAGAAAATTGAAATATTTTTTCAATAATCTGATATTTTAAATAGACTAATAATTGCAACATATTTTGACTTGACTTGTCTTAAATATTACTTTCTCTATTGTACCTAGATTTATGACAAAATAGCAGCGTAAGACAATGCAAAAGCATGCATCACAGAAATTAAACATTTGGAGAAATGACGTACGAACTTCATTTATCAAATGGTCAAAGGATAGCATTTCACTTTACTTACAGTTTGAGAAGCTAGACTTAATGAAAGATCACGTGGTAGACCAGCTGCTACTCCCCCATCAGCCAAAGCTTCTATTGCTAAATAAATGTAGGCAGGACCACTACCACTGAACAATTTAGGAAAAATAAAACAAGTTTTAGTAAGTTGTACACAGAATCAAAAGCTACACCAGGACAAAATCAGAAAACTGGGCAAGGCTCATAAATCATTTGAACAGATGGAATTAATTTACAATGATAGAAAATGCAAAAAAGCTTAGAATTGCATGCGAATAGTAGACCTACATTTCCTTATCTTCTAACCTTGTAGTATCATCAGTTACCTCCCAAGAAACATGTTATCAAAGATGAAATGAAATTTCTTGTTGATTTCTTGGATAATATTATTGTGATTTTTGAAAGTGAGACCTACATACCTCAGACCAGTTACTGCATCAAAATACTTTTCTTCAGCTTTCCATATTTTTCCAATTGACCCAAACAGTTTAGCTATAATATTTCCATCTTCTTCTGTTGCGGCTGCCCCCAAGCTCATAACTGTCATGGTTTGATTTTAGTTATTATTCATTAAAGCCTGTAATTCTCAACAATGCAAATAAATACAGAAAGAAATGTAATAAAGAAAACCCATTGTTTAGTAGAATAACATAAAAGGTACAGAATTACCATAATATGTAAGAGAAGGCATTCTTGACTTGTAATTTATCCATAATTGAGATTATTAACCCATGTAATCTATGCATCCCAACCAAGAAAAAGAAAGAAATGCTGAGCTACACAAACAAACTGTAACAAGTGTAAATATCAGGGACAGATTTTGGGAGCCTTTCCACACCAACCTTCATAAAGGTGAAGAACAAAACCACTCACACTATTATGATAAATCATATTTAACTTCCATTACATGAAAGATCCTCAATACAAACAATATATAAACATCAACCAATATAAATATTAAAGGCCAACCAAGCTCTAAATGTAGTTGCATTATAAGCAGCAGACTCCACAAAACAGGGTATTAGCATAACAAAACAAGTCTTTTATCAGACAATTCTGATACCAAAAGAGTGTTCAAAAAATATCTCACCAACTAGCCGAAGCAGTCACAGACTAGAAAGAAAAATTATGTGTTTTTCACTAAGTATTTTTGGTACTGAGAAGTTTAAATACTAGATTATCAATAAACTGAGTTAATTCCACCTGAACTTTCAAGTTGCCGATAAAAATTTAATCTTCTATCAAAAGTCTTGGACAGAGAGCAATTAAGCAGTAGCTGACAATTTAGAATTCAGAGAGCCCGTTACAGAACTACCAAGTTATACAAATAATTCGTGCAGCTTACATCCTCAACATCGTGCACATAAAACTGAGGATCAAAACACAATATGCTTTTGAAAGAAGAAGTAAAAATGGATAATACCTGATGCTGCCTCGCCAACAGCAGCAGGAGTATTAGGCATCACTCTTATAAATCTATTGCTCCCAGCCCATTCCTACATTTTTTGAAACAACCATTTTCCATAAAATTATACAACCTAATTATATTTGAGAAAAAGCTACTTGCACAAGCCTATTTGTTGGTACGGGAAAATACTTTTTGTTTTCATATCCTCTGTTAACTTCAGAATACAATAATATCACCTTATTTTTATTTTGTTTCTTAATTTTTAAATTTGATACAATAAACAGTGAAACCAACCTTATATTCTATTGCGAGTTTAATTGTGATGCACTCTAAAATGTAAAAGTCAATAAACATACAGTCAAGAGGATGGATTTGTTATTTGATCAGTGAAATTCTTTTTACAGGATTAGTGCATTTAAATTAAATTATTTTCTGCTTTATTTTTCTTAGTACAATCATAAAATAGAACTGGTTCAGTTCCTACTTAAATTATAGTCCACACACAACACAAGTACACGAAAGCAAAAAGAAGGAAAAAAAATATACTGCATTCGCCAACCTGAAGATCTTTCAACTTGATACCAGCAGCCACCGAAACCAAAAGCTTGTCCTTCGTGATAATCGGCGTCAATTTCGACACCACGTCTTTCACTGCAACAACACACAGAGAAGTAAATGAAATCACAAGTAGAATACACACGATGAGCGCGGAGACAGCGCAAGAATACCTAATTGAGGTTTGACCGATAGAACGACGACGTTGCTTTCGCGAACAACCTGCGAGTGCGAGGATAAAAGGAGTGAAAACGGCGTGACATTTTTTTCAGAAATAAATAGAAAAGGAGAGGGAGCGATAATACGTCCTCGTTCGATGAGAGGACGGTGACGCCGAAGGATTCAAAGGCGGTGCGGCGCGCGGGATTGGAGTGAGCGGCAGTGCGAATGCGAGAAGGCGGCAGGACACCGGAGCCGACGGCGCCACGGGCAATGGACTCGGCCATTTTTCCTGCGCCGATGAAGCCGAGAGTGTAGGTTTCGGCGGGAATGGTAGTGATTTCCATTTTGAGTTACGTGGCAGAGAAATCAGTTTGGATCTGAAACTGAATCGGGGAAACAGAGAAAGAAGAGAAGTGACGCAGTGACGTAGATTGATTTGGTTTGGCCACTCTTCCACTTCCAGTTGGTTTGTTCCACTTACACACTCAACATCGCATCGTATCAAATAAAGTTGGCCTTCGTTTGTCAATTTATTTAGATAGAACAAAAATCTCTTCTTTTTTAGCCTATAAAAATAATTTTTGTAAACTTTTAAAAAAATAAAAATCATGCCTAATTTTTAAATTTCATTTTGATGATTTATATTTTATTAATATATTATATATCATCGAAATGAAATTCATAAAAGTGTACAGTATTATATTAAGTTTTCTTCGTTTAAAAAATGACAGAAGATATCTATATTTTAGCTTTTGCATTACATTGTTGTATGTATCTAAAAATTATAATAAATCATAAAAACATATTAATATTTCTCAATATTTTGTAAATTTTAATTATTTCTTCTGTAAAACATTATGTTAACATACCTTATGTATTATATTATTATTTTTAATTATTTATAAATATTTCATTGTATCCTAAACTGTAGCAAATATTATATGCAATCTCAAGAAATGTTTTTATGCATAAATTATTATCCCATAGCATTTTTGGTGGTGAATCTTTAAGTGGAATCTTATACACATAATATATATTTTATAAGATTAGTATTAAAGGAAAATAAAATATCTCCAACCTAAAAAATAAATTTTCTATAAGAATCCTAATATATATATATATATATATATATATATATATATATATATATATATATATATATATATATATATATTGTTAACAAGGGACATTAATACATATTGAAATGAGTGGCCAGATAATAGTGATTTACAATATTGTGTATTTTGACATTAATTTTAAAATATATTATTTTGTAAGCACAAAATTTGTTTTAATTAAGTTTATGAACTTGTTTATTTCTTTAATGGATTTTTTGTTTACCCTTGTTACAAAAATTAAACACGCCACGTGGATCTAATTAGTGGTGTCATCATATTGTCAAGTTTAAACAAAGTATTTTATTTCTTGAAGCCAATATTTTCACTGCTTCGGTATCATCACCTCTGTGCATTTGAAATTCATCAACTACGCTTTTCAATCAAAATTTCACATATACTCTTAACCTTTATAAAGTTTATGGTTACTTATTAATGAAAATTTAAATTCACTAATAATTTGTATTAATACAATAATGCACCATTTTGTGTCTTTTGGTTAAATCTAAGATTGTTTGAGTTATATTAATTTCAATATTGTTTTATTTAAGTTATGTTTAGTGTTGATTATAGTTGGGAAGTTGGTAATATTTTAAAGAATTACTTATTAATTCAAATTGTGAAAAAAGAAAATTGAGCTGAGAAATGTTAAAAAATAAAATAAAATCATATACTATGTTCATTTAGCATAAAAATACACGTCTCACATTAAAAACATATCTATAACTCACGTTTCTTCCTTGTTTCTTTTAAATACCTAAACCACTTCGCATATATATGAATTATAATGTAAACATTATATTAATATATACATTAATTATTAAAATATTTATTTAATGTTAAATATAATTTATAAATAATATATTTATACCATAAATAAAATTATCTAATAAATTTATTTTAGAACTTATCATTCAATATATTTTCCATATAATAAATTTCGTTTTTTTCTCTCTGTTATCTTATTTCTTCACATATTTTTTTTATCATATCACTAACATATATAAATATTTTAATATTTATATTATTATATTCTTTAATATATTAAAGCATTGTTTGTTTAAATATTTTATGCAAGTGATAGGATAGACGAATAATGGAAAAAATGACAAGGGAAAAGTGATTGTATATTTATATACAATGTGTAAAAAAATTAGAAATTAAGTTGATAAATATATTTAATGAACTTTTTATTATATATTTTTAATATTATTCCACGAGTTAATTGTATTTTTGTGTTTCATATTATTCAAAATGAATTTATAATGTATATATCATTATTATTTCAATTTACCAATTATTAAATTCCCCCTCTCAGCTGACGAATCTTCTTGGGAGTTGAGGGAGTCAGTGACCACCCCCAAAGTTTTGTGACTCTCATGTAATTTATGATTTTGGTCCCCCAAAATTTAATGAACATTTAATATATTTACTTGTATTTTTACAATTTTATCCTCTCAGCCATCTTTAGTTTTGTAACTCTCATATAATTTATGATCTTGTCCTCCTCAAACTTAATGATCATTTAATATATTTAAGTATATATCTACAATTTTATCCTTTCACCTTTTTATTTTCTTTCTTCCTTTTATATTTATTTATTATTTATTAATAATATATTATTTAGCTCCCAAGATCAATGGTCAAGATCCGTTATTGCTCCCTCTAGTCTAGTTTTATATATAAGAAACAAAAATCTTTAATACGAATTAAAAATTGTTTAAAGGAGAAATTAATGTGTGTTTTTCATGGCTCTGGGGTGTTTAGTTGTTATGATCAAAGAAATAATTGGAATGAAACCTTCTAAAATTGAGCAATATAGTCATTATGTGAAGTCCAAAAAAAGGGAAATAGAAGATTAAGTGGTCAATGACAAAGCTCGAAGGAAATAGATTTTGTTAGTTTTTCTTATAAGATATTGTCCTTGTTTTTTCTTTTTATTTTGCACAAGTTATTTTTTTCCTTAACAAATTATATATGTCTTTGTTTAGATTGTGATGACAAGGAAAAAAATAATATTTCTCTATTTTCTCTATGTTTCTATTTCTTTAACTTATTCTTTATGTTTTTTATCTAAGACTTATCATTTGGTGTTTTAGTTGAGAGAATGATAGGATTTTCATATGTTAACGATATTGTCACCATGAAAACTCTTATTTCTACTATTAAAGCCTTATCAACAACCCATTATACTTACCCACCATTATTTCTACTAACAAAGTTGTTAAGCCAAAACTACAAATCAACAACCCATTATACTTACCCATCACCATCAAACTAGGTGTACCTTGATTTAATGGTGAGAACCCCTTGGGTTGGATCTTCAAAGTAAATTACGGATGAACAATGATTACGAATTGTTTCGTTCTACATGGAAGGAGAAGCCCTAAGTTGGTATCAATTGATGCATAACAATGGCCAACTCTCATCTTGGGCCGCATTTCTTCGATCTATGAAATTGCGATTTGCCCCCTTCAGATTTTGACGATCCTTAGGGTGCAGTCTTCAAATCAACCCAAACCAATTCGGTTTGAGAATACCAAGTTCAGTTCGAGAATTTCGTCAATCGTGTTCATGGTTTATCAATGCCATTTTACTTGAGTTATTTTATTTATGGTCTCAAGCCAGAGATGGAAAAATTAAATAGAGAGATGTTGGGTTCAAGTGTGATTCAATGCAGCAATAATGCTTTCTCTTCTCTTATTTTGTTGGTTAGAAAAAAAGACAGAAGCTGGAGGTTTTGTGTTGACTACCATGCCCTAAATGCAATCACAAATAAGGATTGTTTTCCCATTCCATCAATTGCGAAGTTAATCGATGAATTCCATGGGACATAATGGTTCAGTAAGCTCGATTTAAGGTATGGGTATCACCAAATCAGAATGCATGTTGAGGATGTACACAAATTGTTTTTAGGACTCACGACAAACATTATGAGTTTCTCGTTACGCTTTTTAACTTATGCAATGCCCCAACGATGTTTTAGGCCACCATGAACGTGTTATTCAACCATATCTATGGCGGTTTGTTATTGTGTTCTTCAATGATATTTTAATATATAGTAAATCCTTAGATGATCATGTTCTTCACTTAAAAATTGTGTTTGATTGTTTGATGACTGATCAAATTTATTTGAAGAGAACCAAATGCACCTTTACACAACCATCTATTGAGTACTTAGGCTATATAGTGTCCAGGAATAGTGTGGGACCAGATCTTGAGAAAGTTTGAGCTATGACAGAGTGGCCAGTACTAGAGAATCTTAAGCAATTGTGGGATTTATGGGTCTTACAAGATTTTACCGCAAGTTCATTCGTGTGTATGCTACAATTGTGTTGCCTCTAACCAATTTGCTAAAAGAAGAGGCCTTCAAATGGTCAGATGAAGTACAAACAACTTTTGAACAATTGAAAGGTGCAATGGTAACCACTCCAATCTTAAAGTTACCAGATTTTGAAAAGATTTCTGTTGTTGAGACATATGGCTCTAGTGATAGTATGGGTGCGATGCTCTAACAGGATGGTCATCTCATTAGTTTCTTTAGTAATAAATTTTGCACCAAGATGCTGAATTCCTCAACATACGTACGTGAACTCCATGTAATTACTGAGGCTGTAAAAAAATGGAGAACCTATTTGCTAGGGCGTAAGTTTCTGATTTACACAGATCAAAAGAGTTCAAGGAAATTAATAACATAAATAATTCAGACCCCTAAACAATAGTATTACCTTTCCAAATTATTGGGGTATAGTTACGAAATCATCTATAAACTAGAGGCTACTAATGCATAATAGATGCATTGTCCAAGGTTCCTTTTTTGTCAGGTCACTTGTTTGGAATTACAATTCCTCATTTGGAGTATTTTCAAAAATTCAAGCTCTTTATAAAAGTGATCCGAAATTACTCAAATTGGTAAAAACAATGAAAAATAAACTCGATGATTATAGTGGTTATACTTGGACTCAAGGAATTTTGCTATATCGAGGAAAAAATTATTTACCATCTCATTTTGAATTGAAACAATTACTACTTGAGGAGTTCCATGCAACAACCATTGGGGTACATGGGAGTACTGAAAACACTTGATAGATTGTTTGAAAATTTTTATTGGGCTAGAATGAAGAAAGTGATTATTGAATTTGTGTCAAAATGTTTGATTTGCCAACAAACCAAAGTCTCCACTCATTCTCCGTATGACTTGTTATAACCACTACCAATACCCACTGGCA